AAAAAAAAACACATTTTTATAAATTTAAAATATTAAAAATTCTTAAAATTATTATGAGATATTAAAAATATTATATGTATATTAAATGTATGTAAGGGCCTGAGCACAATAGAGAAACAGGAATTAGATATTAAGATTTTAACCTATCAGAAACTGATTACATCGGAATACACGGTTTCTGATAGGTTGAAATCTTAATATCTAATTTTCGTTCCTTTGTCGTGCGCAGGCCCTAAAAATATTATATCAATGTAAAAATTTCTTTCAACAGGATTAAAAATTTCATTTATGCTTTAATATTTTTTCTTAATTTAAAAGTATATTTAACATTATATTTAGCACAGTCATAATTGTACGTATACATATATATTGTATGCATATTTGTAAATGTTCTTAAAATAAATTCTCTTACCATACAAAAATATTTTTATTATTGTACATAAATATATTTTGATTTTGATTTATTAATTTTATTAATATTTGTTTTTTCTAATTTTTTTTAGATTTATAGATTTAAGAAGTACATACTTATTATGTTTTTTATTTTAATGCAATATTTGAATAAATATATTGATTTTACATACTATTTGTCCCTTACTTCACTCTTAACATTTTTACTAAAAATGTATAAATGTATATATGTATGTAATAAATATATTTCCTTTTCAGTAAATAATATTTCTATAATTATATGTATATTTCTCTTTAGTATTTTCTCAATTTTATATTTCTTATTGATCAATACAGATTCTATATTGTGTGGTTAGCTACTTATTTATTTTCTAATTTAATTTATATATTAAATGTAATGACTAATATATATAAATAACAAGTTAAGAAAAGAGAAGAAATGATAAAAGAGCTATAATGTAAAATAGAAACTCAGTGATACAAGGTTCTTTTGTAACTGAGCTAGTATTGTACTTAAAATGAAATAGATATATATTTGGAATTGGTGAAAGCATGATAGAACATTTTAGTGCAGTTCAGTGTAGCAACAAAGAGCAGGCTTATGATTGGTTACCTACTTAGCTCGCGCATGTGCAGTTCGATTTCATACACGCTATCATCAAAGGTGCCGACAGAGAGTTGCGCTACTGTATATACTGTGCCCATGATCTATTTTGACGCTGAAAATGAGTTCAGTATGAAAAGGTACCTTAAGGTTAGATTATCATAAATGACGCCGATATTTTGACGCGCAATAAAAAAGGTTTCGCGCGTCGTACTTTTATCATTCGCGTAGAGAATAGGTTATATTTGTGTAATCTGTGTAATTGATTTGTTGAAGAGGCTGAAATCCAATGTTGGATAGCGTTCAATTTAAAGAAAGAAATCACAATGGCGAGAGAAGAATGAGACATAGGGTGCGTTCCATTTCACGCATGATGCGCATGGAGAGCATGGAAGGCGTTCCGTTTCACTCCATGTTCCGTTCATGCGCGCATGAGAACGGCAGGGTGTCTATACGGCTCGCAGCGTAAGACCACAGTATAACTACAATACAGTAGCGACAGTACCAGCAAACGAAAGGTTCAATTTTGTTCTGCGCATGCGTTGGCTGTAAAACCAAGAATATGGCGGACTGTCATTAAAACTGTGGCGACGAAAGTCAAATATGCCGTACAAGTTTTAAGTGCATCTGTTGCTTCAGCTTTAAAAACACTTGTAGCATTAGGTCTTTTACCAGCTGATGCTCTTGATCTAGCTGAATTTATTGAAAATATGGACAATTTGTTTGACATATTTAATTCTTCTAGCGTTAACAGTAAAAAACAACATAAAAAAGCTTTTATTGGTACAGAATCTGAAAAAGATTTTCTATTATCACTGAAAACATACTTAGTTAATATAAAAATTTATAATAAAGCTAATAAAGATATTTCTCGTAATGTAAAAGCGTTTGAGAAGTGGATTCACAATATTAACAGTTTATTTCATTTATGGTCTTATTTACAAAAAAATGACCCAGATATCAAATTCTTACTTATGCGGAGATTTAATCAAGATCCACTGGAAAATTTTTTTGGAAAAGTAAGATCATTGAATGGTAATGCTTTCAATCCAACGCCAGTACAATTTTATTTAACGTTTAGAAAACTTTTTGCAATGAACTATTGTAATACAGCAAACGGTAATTGTGCACAGGACTACGATGACTTGTTGACTACATTAAAAACCTACATAGCAAAAAATCCTGTAATGCAAAATATAACGCAACAAGAAGACTCAATTTTACTTAATCGTGATTATCGTACTATGCATCTGACAGAACAGAATGCTTTTCGATACATTTGTGGCTATCTTATGCGTAAATGTATTGATAAACATTCTTGTGATATTTGCTCAAGATATGCAAAACAATATGTTGATTTAGACAACACATCATATTATTGCTTCCTTCGAGCATATACTTCTACTGAAGAGAATCTCTATGGTAGTTTATTCATGCCAAATAATGATTTTATTGAATATATTAAAAAGCTAGAATACTGTTTCTTCGATAATATTAAACAATTAATAGTACAACAACAAATTATTCAAAAATTAATATCTATCTGCAATAGTATTGAATTTAGTCATCCCTGTCTACAATTTCCATTGCACTATTTAATTAAATTATATTGTAGAGTTAGGCTATTTTTCACTGTGAAATTTATTAATAGAAAATTTAAATCTCAGGCAGGTCACAAAAAAATGATAATTTTAAGGCATAATTAAAGAAATGTTGGCATTTATTTTATTAGCTTTATTTCAATACTTTTATTGTAATGTTTTGGCTTACATTTTATTTGCTGTTTTGTTTTAATATTTTTATATTTATGTAAATATTTTTTATATAAATATTAATGCATCGTAATATTAATATTTCGTCTATTTCAATTCTTGCAACCTCTCTAAGATCTTACGATATTTATATTATGTTTCTATATATCTATACCCTTTTTTTATTTTAACTTTCTACGTATTTTACTTTACTTCTGCAAATTCTTCTATATATTTAATTAATTTACTTATTTCTTCGGTTTAACTGGTCTCAATTGCTAACTCCACTTCTCAGTTTAACTATATAATCACACTCTGTCCATTTGCAGTAGTCTACACTTAAGCACGAATTACAATCATTCTAAAGTGGAAACAACATCAATCTATTATCAACGGTTCTTAACAGTTATATAATGAACAATTTATTTAATATGATTTTAGAATGACATCGAACATTTCACAATCTCTAAATATGATTGATTGTGAACAAGATTATGCTGCTACACACGGCAAAGGTCAATTTGTAATAACGTAATTCTGTATAAAATATGTAAATTATTGAATCTTTTGTATGCCGTATTCTATAAGAACGTGCTATGGATAAATACGCGCTTTTTTGTCTAAAATTATCTAGTATAAGTAATGTAATATTTCATTGTATGTCAAATATGTGTAAACATCGTAAATCTACATTATTTTATGTGTGAATTTTTGATGATATTAATAATTATTACATTTACTTAATTACGAGTATTACAATAAATAAGTAAATATATTAAAAATGAATAAATTAGCATTAAAAATTAATAAAGACACGGCGATAACCCGCAAACCTTCTGGTATAATTGAAGAAAATACCCATGAAAGCCTCAAATGCTTTATTAAGTAAATATAATTTTTCGTTGTTTCATCGTTTTCTCTATCCCTATCCTACATCCTATAGGCAGTACAAATTTGGATACATGTCCAAAGCTGGGACATAAAACGTCTTAAAGATTCATGTTATGGCGTCTTAAAGAGATCTTAAAGACGTTTTATGTCTCAATTTTAAACATTGTACTATCTGAAATTGTCAATACATTGTTGATTTACAAATATCATGCTTCACATACTGTTTTATGATTTCATTTGGTTCATTCCAGAAATACATTCAAATTAGAAATAAATATAGACCTATATTAATATATACAGTAGTATATCTAAAATCATATATACAATTTATCCGAATTTTGAAAATACTTTATATGCGAAATACTACGTCTTTTGTTGTTCAAATTCAGCGGTCCCATAAAACCCTCAACATGGCTGACAGTCACATGATCGGTGACCACCGACATCAAAGAAGCCGATAGCTACTGTCGCTACTGTATTGTAGTTATACTGTGGTAAGACAGCGCATGGGCTGCCTCAGCTCCCGAGGTGAAGCAGTTCATGCGATGTCTATGCACAAGGGTTGATCATCTTAAGCGGGAAAAACTGTTCCTGTTGTTATTAGTAAATTAGTAAAGCTGGTATTATGCGAATAACCACATTTAACACAAAATGAAAGAACTCCAAATTTTTGTCAATGATGAATTATGGATGCTAAACGTATCCGATGCCGAATTTGTAGCAGCAACAACTGGCAATAAGTATTATCGTGAAAAGCTTTCATTATAACCTCAAACTTCAAAGTTTCTTAAAAAACAGCAGTGTAATGTTTATTCTATATGCCTAGAATTGTTATTTTATGTATGTGGGGCAGATTTCATGCTTAGAACATTAAAGTCAAATTGTTATTTTTTTTTAGAGTAGCTTCCACTTTTTGTAAAATTCAGTAATTAGAATCTTACTTATTTTGATAGATGCTGAAGTTCTTAAACTTCTGGTAGACCGGGAAAGCGAGAGGCGAAGTATGGCTATGATTAATGAAGAACAAGAACATAACGAATCAAAAGAATCTATAATCTGTGTAAATACACCTATAGCAGACGAAGCCAAGAAAAAATCTTATATTTGGCCAGATGAGGCAGTTCTTTTATTTCTGGAGATTTATCAAAATAAAGAGCCTACTTTTGCTTTGGGTCTGAAACGTCATAACAAAATATGGTTAGAAATTGCCAATGAAATGAAGACGGCAAACTAACGTCACTGTTGTTCAATGTCAAAATAAAATGTCAGGACTAAAAAGAACTTATAAAAATATAAGTGACAGCAACAAAAAGTCAGGTAACCATTCAAGTTCTTGGGCCTTTTACTCTGCTATGGATTCAATATTTGGAGAAAAGGCATGGGTAGCACCTGTATCAATAGCTAGCAGCGATAGTCCATGCTCTCCAAGCACTTCATCCACCTTGTCAGAGATATCAGTAGATGAACAAAAACCAAAGAAAAGGCGAGTGGAATCTATTTTGGAATCGTTCATCACAGAAATGAAAAAAGATAAGCAGAAGGAGAGGGATGAGAGAGAACAGCGAAGAGCTGAGAAAAAAGCAGAAAAGGAAGAAGGACAGAAGCAGATTGTACAAGAGCAGTGGAAAATGCATCAAGACAAAGTGAAGTTGCAGCAATCTTTAATTGAAGTACTCAGTAAAGTTGTTGAACTCAAAAAGGAAGAAGTTACAGAAGAGGTTTAATCATGGTCTATAATAAGTTGCAAACACTTCATTATCAATTACAATGCTTTGTGACAGCCAATCAGAGACATAATTAATTATTATTGACACTTCTGATTGATTGTTACGAAGCATTACGATTGACGATAGTGTGTTTGCAACTTATTGTAAACCTCGCTTTAGGAATCTAGCTGATGTAACCATACAGGGTTGTCTTTTTATATAGACTGCATCATCCTAGTCAAGATATATTTTATTTTGCTTCTTGTATGGGTGCGTATATACACCTCAGATAAGTTTAAAGCTCACATCAAATTATGCATTGGACATTAAGATTAAAGATCAAAGATAGAAAATGGACCAAGCAGAATAAAGAAATTTTAATTCCTTTTATTCTGATTGATTAATTTTCAATCTTCAATCATTAATTTTAATCTTTACTGTATAATCTGATATGTGCTTAACGTTGTTTAATATTTCCGAGATATTTTATAATACTACATCCTTTGTTTTGTTTTTATGTATTTTACTTTATGTATTTTATTTTTCTTAGAACGTGAAAGTTTATACTTTAAAAAGTAATAATAATAAAAGTAAGTGAAAGTACTTTTAAAAGTAATAATTGATTTTATACAATATATTCTTTGAATGTCACTTTTTTAGACTTTGTCCTTTATTTTTTATGTAAATGTTATAATATGCGATAATAATGTTATGAATGCAATTAGAATTTTTTGCTTACATTTATATTACTGCTGTTCAAGATTGTAATTCTATGAATATTGGCTTAATACATATATTCAATGGGTGCATCCAGAAGAACGAGCGCTCAGTGAGTCTCTTGTACCTGCTTGAACTATATTTTTAAATCTAATGGAATATGTTAATCAGATGCAGAAGTTCACTGAGCGCTCAGTGAACGGTCACGCTTCTGGATACACCCACTGTCTTTCTTTTGCTATTTCTATTTAAAAAAGGAAGGTAATAAAATGTAAACACACTTAAAATCAATACTTAGAATTACAAATCTTGGATATTAAATATACAAACTATGTAAAATATACTTACAAGTAACACTACCCAAGTGTTAATCACCGATCGTCTTGAAATTTGGTCTACATATTCTTTAATGGAAAATATTTGATACGTATTTTTTTATATCGGCTAAAAAACATTTTAAGGGGGCTAAAAAAATGTTTTAACATTGTAAAAACTACTATCGCAACGTGTATATTGTGTCACCGTGGGCTTCTTGCTTGGATGTTTGAAAAATACATTTAAAATTGGCTGAAATGTATTACCTGGGGGTTTTTGGTATCGGGGATTACGAATTTGAAGTCAGAATTTTAAAATTCAAAATGTCGTATCCAATATGGCTGACGAATTTTCAAGAAATTGTTTAATATCCATAAGAATGTGAATACTGGTGTTTTTGGGGTCGCTTAATACGAACTTGGAGTCAGATTTTCAAAATTAGAATAAATAATTATTTTAAAATACACTTCTTTGTTTTGCCTGCAGTTAGCCTACTGTGATAGTAGTTTCCAGGGTCTACCGCGAGGAGGTTGCAGTGCTATTATAGACCCCATTTTTTTTTTAATTTTATTTATTTTTTTTAAATAAAAAAATACGTATCAAATATTTTCCATTAAAGAATATGTAGACCAAATTTCAAGACGATCGGTGATTAACACTTGGGTAGTGTTACTTGTTAGTGCTATTAAATATACATTTCATGTAACGACAAAATATTCAAATTATTATAAAATTCAACTGCCATATTTGATGCGATATAATGGACTATTGTTTACATACACGCGTTTACCTTAAAATTATCGCGATACGAGACTCAGGTATTGACAATAATGTTATGCAGAAAAATATAAGCCGTTGGAGGATTGTATTTTTCTGCATAACATTATCAATTGTCAATATCTGAGTCTCGTATTGCGATAATTTTAAGGATTGATAACAATAAGGCAGTGTTGCAGTAATTCTATGTTCACTCAAACACTACAACTGCTTTAGTGTCATTATTGCATATGAAATGTCGCATTCTGAAAGTTTTTTCTCTTTTATTATAAAATAAAGTATCACTCTCTTATAATAAACGTCTTTTAATAATCAAATTAAATATGACATGTTTATTTATGCTTAAGTTTAATATAAGACTCATTATTATAAGTTATTATAAATTTGTAGAAGTATAAAACATTTTTATAATATATTCTATTATTTTAGAGCTGATATAAGAATAGAATTTTATAATTATATAATTTTTGTAAGTGAAATTTAATCTAATTATTTTTATTCTCAAGTCTCATCCTTAACTCATTCATAATTCTCGTTCTCTTTTGGTTACCTAAATCTGCATGTGCTTCTACGATATTGGGAACAACATTCTCATGATTGGGATAGACAATAACATTAACATTATCATTTTGCAGTATGCAGATGTGCATTATACAGCATGCAATAATAAATTGTGGTATCTTAGTGATATCAGTGAGAGGCAGACAGTCGAGCAAAATTCGAAATCTCACTTTCAAAAGTCCAAAGGCTCTTTCAATGGGCATGCGAGTAGATGATAAGCAATAATTGAAGTTCTTTTGCCTTGCAGTAAGGTGTCCATTATCTTTAAACGGTACCATGACATGTGGATGAATCGAATATGCTGCATCTCCAATAAGGTGAGAATTCAAAGGAAAATACTCATCCGGTCTCTGAATGAACTCGGCTAGAGAAGAGTTCCTAAACACTCGTGCATCATGCACTGATCCTACATGGCCGGCATAGCAATGAGTGAACAGACTTCGAGCATCACATACAGCTTGAAGGTGAATGGCATGAAAATTTTTTCTGCAAATATAAAAAGCTGCATCTTTTTTAGGAGCTCTGTATAAAAGAGCCATCGACAGCTCCAATAAAAAAAAAACGCCTGGAAAATTTTTCGCCCTTTTAAATTCTTCAATTACACGGGTGGCTTCCTCTCCTCTTGGCCATTTTATAAAGCGTGGCGCTAAACAGTGAAGAACATAAGTCACACGTCTCATAGCACGTAGTGCAGTAGCCTTTCCCACATCAAACTTAACGCACACAGACCTGTATATA